CACTACCCTGAAATGCAGTTGTGAGATATGTTTTCACCCCTGAGGCACAAATCATGGGGCTTTCAAGGACAATCCTACACTCTCATCTCCGAGGATGGTCCTTGACAATGTGCGATGCGAATGGATCCGCACCCGCAGTATCGTGCCACTTTCTCCGCTCGGAATAGCACGCGATGTGGTCGAAGGGTAGTTGTATTCGTGTGCCGTCTCCCGACTCCACCCGCACCATGCAAGTGCAGTACTTGTGGCGGTACCGGTGTCTCGCAACGAAATACGCCCTCAGCGATGGAGAACTACCAGAATTGAGAGGGTGCAGACAATAGTAGCGTGTTAAGCCATAGTTAGGCGGGCTGGTTGCGCGGTGGCGCAGGCGGAGTGTGTAGACGGCACCCGGGTATCACTACTCCCAGCCCTACACTTGCACTTTCACCGGAGTAATGGCACGCTACTGCAATTGCAGACTTCATTCAGCTTACACATGACAAGGACCAGGATCCACGGAGGTGAGTGTACAGTTGTTTTTAAAGACAGCCCCGCGCTCGAGTAGTACATGGTCGTCCTTCCTTGTGCAAGTAGTACAGCCCCCAAGCTAGAGACTGTCCCACTCTATTCGTCTGCACAGCGAGCGAGAAGCGAGCTACAGCCGCTGTAAGTTCTAACGCCTGCTCAGTTGGACCGCCTTACTTGCTAGATGTCCTCCGACGGAGGCCACTCAGTTGTTCTTAGTTGGGGCGGCGGGCATTGCTAATGCCCATGGATAATTCTGCTCCCCTTTATTACAGTTTACTCATTGGAGGTATATACATTCAATTCAACTCATTTCGCGAGGTGAAACGCGTAAAAAGCACGAGTGACGCAATTTTCGTGATGCAAAACCTCGACGCACAAAACGTGCGCTACCGTAATCCCAAATTCAGACACCGCGTTGATAAAATTCCTTTTTCCTTCCAAGAGTTTTTCCTCTGCGTTTTTGTTGTTTTTTGTATTCTTTTTTTTGCACTGGATGATATCAACTACTGCGAGATGTGATAGAGAGATTTGTGAGCTAGGGGTTGACCGCAGGGAGGTGTGACTGTGAGGGAGCGATTTTGTTTATGTTGTTCTGGAGGACGCTTCTTGCCTGTTTTCTTCTTTGGGAGATTACTTATCAGCTGCTGTTTCATAATTGGAAAGCAGCTATCCATGAGACTTTTATCGCGGGAGCTGTCTTTAAAGCGTCTACGAATTTTAGTAGAAGTTGAGTGTGAGTTACATCCTCCAAAGACCGAAGAGTGTCTCGTTTTCCCATACTTTCAGTCGTTTGTTCCCTGATGAGCCACTCTTTCGATAACCAAGAGCAACAGGTCATCGACAATGGATAATGACGAGTGTCTTCTGCCGCAGGAAGAATGTGAGTCGATGACATGCGAGAGTTCACAGAGATGAATAATTTATAGAAAAGCTCGTGCTATGTATGTACGTAGGCTATCAAACACATAGAGATGCACTGAATTTCAAGGTGGTAGGTAGTGCGCTCCAATTTGTTATCTGCTCAGAGACACACTCCCAAACAACAGTAAACGAATAAACGAACGTATCGTTCCCGAAAAGTGCTATATCCCGGGCTTGTCTGCTGGATGGCATACGAACGTCATAAAAATGACCGAAAGAGCCTGAAAATCTCTTTCGAGTGGAACAGTGTCGCCTTCTAGAGATGTTCAAATGCGCTCTGTCCAAAAAGAATTTTAGCCTTTTTCTCTGCAGATAGCGTCCCGAAAAAGCAGTTTTCCAGGACCGCTTTTATGCAGCGATCGACTTTTGATGCCCCGAGGTTCACATATGTCAAACGACACCAACCAGTTCTGGGTGAAGGGACAGCACACCTTCGGGAACGATACCTTTGAAAATTTTCGTGAACAGTGTAAATAAGTTAAGTTAAAACATTACTTGTTGCTCCTCAACACGAACGCCTTTGCTCTCATTGGCACATCGTTCAGTTATAGTTATAATATTATATAGTACACAATAGATATAAACAATTACAAACTCACTAGTCAACATGACAAGCCTAATTGTTTACGAACACTACAATATGTCAAATATTAATACTATTATCTTGAGATAATTAGTAGTGTTAGTGAGTAGTGAAACACCGTGTTTGGTAAGAGATCACGTAAAGCTGGATGATGACCCACATGGGGATAACTGAATTATGCAAAAGTATGTAGTCACAGAATTTTAGGAAATTTTAACTCTAAAGGCGAGAGAGGTTGTGGAGAAGTCCGAGGTTGCTGATCCGTTCGGAGAAGAAAGGTCGACGGAACGGGGGACGATGGTAGGCTTCTACTTCTTTTCGCCGCCTTCCTCTTCCACTGGACCCAACGTGTGCCACTGAGCGATCGGTCGTCGTGGCGATGCGAGCATGTCCATCCAATGTCTGGAAACAAGAAATTGAAATCCTTGGGCATTTGCTCAGTACGTACGCTAGAAACTACTGGATGCGATTTCAAAACAATTGGATCTATTTGGCTCGTTTTTATAACGACTACTGTCGTTTATTGTCAAAGTTCGTGATGCAAAAGTCATCACAAAAATGTTGAGGTATGGGCCAAACGAATTGCGACACTTGGGGTTCATACGTGTTCCTCACGCTTAGCGGTTTACGCACTGACCATCATACACAGAGACCTGCAGATCGGGTAGAAGCTGCCCTTTGTGGCGCAACAATCGAACAGCGTTCAGACTTCGCGATAATGCGGGTCAACGCGCTATAATGCGATGTAACGCGCGTCGACGCGCTACAGTTACAACAGCGCTTCAAAGCTATAGACAGGAACGCAGACACAGACCCCAAACCTCAATAGCTACCAATCTGCGTGACTAGGCAACACCTACTATCTCATTCCCCCATTCTCTCTCAGAACACAAGCGGCCGACGCCCATCGATCGAGAGTTCGCGGACGAAAGCGATCGGCGCCGGCCGTCTGCGTGCTTCATCTCGTCTCTAGCAGCTCGTCGTTGCGCGTAACGGCGCGTTACCGCGCGTCGACGCGCGTTATCGCAAAGCGTGAACGCTGCCTAAATCGGGGCGTGGACAGGAGCACCGGAATGAGCCGCCTTGCCTCACCAGTGGTCGTTGGTCAATGATCGATTTACGTGGGTGTGCTAATGTATTCCCCCTGAAATCGGTCGAGCGTTTGCGACTTTATGAACTGTGAATGTGATAGACAGCTCCGCGTTCTGGCTGATGCCATGCTTTATGTCCATGAATCAATTCTCTTGATTTAAGACTTGGAAAGAAATTCACAATAGAACGACAAAGATAGTAAATATTGTCGCTGCATAAACCCAATTGTCGATTCCCTAATATGAACCGATTTTCCCTGCGGAACCTGGTTTTCATGCGAACCTCGGCGGCGATTACACAAATCCCTGTCATAAACGGGCAAATGTTTGGGTAATTCACCACGCAGTAATCCCCCGCAATATCGTATTGGGAACAAGGGGAACCAAAGGGCAAACAAACACAGAGCAGACGCGTTTTATCCCAACGAAATTCACGCTCACCTCAGTTCCGCTCCTGTAGCGTTACATCCAAGTAGACACCGTCCAATAGCATCGTTCGATCCCAATTTGTCATAGTCCATTACGGTGATCATAAGTGAAACTTTCTGCAAATAGAATCTTTGGCGAATAACCGCTTCTTAGGAAGATGATGAGCTGTGGGATGAGAGGACCACTGGCATAGAAGGGGATCGAAGCTGGAAGTAGGAAAAAAGGTGGCTGATCCATAGAAAGGTGGCATAGCAAACAGAAGAAACAAATAAACATTCTGGAAATGAAGTTTTCAAGAGCCCTAGCATCTGTGTCATTGCAGTAACAGTAATCGCTTATCGATCTCCGGATTCAATAACAGTAGTAGGTACTTCGGGGACATTCTAAATAACTCATTGCTCATTATGCCTAAAGTACACTCAATGGACCATTTGAGTTCTTGAATCCATTTGCTCGGGATCTCTACTGTGATGTAGTGCTGGGTGGTTGAATATTTCGCCTCTACTACTATACAACGGCGTCTGAGGACAGTCAGTTCTTAGCCTGGTGATTTCCTTCAAAAAATCAGTTCATTTTTCCGGACCCTACAGCATGAAGGGCTTCATTGTTTAGGGAGGAATCGAGTTGGCAATGAGAATTGTGCAAGTGATTGAAGACGCACTCTGCCAGTACGCCATCTTCGCACCAAAAGGTCGCGTCGTAATCATTTCGTAATAATATTTATTTGCTTCTTCCGTTCTGTTGAATATGGAAGCAACCAGTTTCTCCCCAATTTCTCGACCACTTACGCACGCCGGTATAGCACCCTTCATTTCCCTAACCATAAGGTACGTCCGCGGTAACCTCCTAGGTAGATCTCCTTTCGGAGGAATCTCTGAGCCTTTCTCGGTCTGCCTTCATTCAAAGAAGCTGCATATATCCATATATACTGCTGGGACGGCTGCGGACCAGCGCCATCAGGTTGTGATCATTTTCTGAAAATTACGACCCCTCCTGATTCCATAATAAAGATACGACCCCCTTTTTGGGAGTTGGTACGACCCCCCAGCCCTCTGTCCTTCCTCATCGAACCGAGCCGTCGAGCGGGGGGGGAGGTCGTCAGAATTAAACTATCATTTTCAAGTGTCGGAAATAGTAGTGCGTCCCTGAACTGACCAAATACGACCCCCCTCCCAAAAATGACCAAGTACGACCCCCCCCCCTTTACAGCGTCCGTGAAACAAGAGAAATCAACTATCAAAAAAATTTTTCTCTGACCAAATACGACCCCCCTCCCTCGCGGTCAAATACGACCCCCCCCCCCTTGTGATGATCACAACGATGGGTACTCGCTGCGCACACTCAAAATCTCCTGAGATGCGGGCTGCATACTTGATTTGAAGGTGAGGGTAGCTCGAATTTTGCGAGATATTTTCATTTTGGGGCAGTTGCAACTTGCCTTTGTCCAACATAGGTAGATGATGAGTTGTCTCAATTTGAAATAACCAACCAGTCACCCATCCCATGCCATGCTCAAGTGCCACATCTACTCTAAGGTGAGGAGTGTACATGCTAGACGGTTGTCTGCTTTCTCGCCCACGGGCTTAATGTCTTTTTTCCGCTTTTTCGTATGCTCATCCACTGTAGAACTGCATTGGCGGCACAATTACTTCAGCTACCTTCTTTGCAAATAATACAATTATTATATATAGTACTTAGAACTCATTCTATCACTGAACCATCGATACATGGGGCAGGAGATGGTGAAGTGACAAGTGGTGCGCGGTCCGGTTCGGATTCTGAGTCGACTTCCCTCCTAGGCCAACGAAGCCTTCTACCCTCCGGGGACGGTAAATTGGTAACGGTTTCGACCCGTTTGGACCGAATTGTCACCTGTGATGAAAAGTGGATCATGTATGATAACAGGAGACGTTCCGGACAGTGGTTGGATGCGACGAACCACCGAGGCAATTTCCAAAGCCGAATCCTCACGAAAAAAAGATTATGGTCATCGGCTGGTGTGATCCACTATAACTTTTGTCACCAGGCCAAACCATCACAGCAGAGTCCTACTGTGAAGAAATCGACGAAATGTACCGAAAATTGCGTCAGCTGCAGCCAGCACTTGTCAACAGAAGGGTCCGATTCTTTTGCATGACAACGCCCGCCCACACGTTTCACAAATCACTATCCATAAATTGAACGAATTGGGGGTTGAAGTTCTACCTCACCCGCCATATTCTCCAGACCTTTCACCAACCGACTATCACCTTTTCAAACATTTTCAGAACTTCCTTGCTGGAAAATACTTCATCAATCAGGACCAGGCAAAAAAAGCCTTCGTGGATTCTCGACCACCCAGTTTTTTCTTTGATGGGATTTATCGACAGATGTCACATTGGCAAAGTGTGCTGATTCGAACGGTGCTTATTTCGATTAAATCCGATGAGTACTAAGAAAGTTATGATCGTTTATGAGCTGTTATTGTTTGATAACTGCTGTTTAACGCCGCAGTGCGCGATACGAAAGTTATCACAAGAATGCTGAGTTGTGGGCAAAAGTCGGACCACGGACGTTTAAAGTGAAACACTCAAAACGCTGAGAACTTTCCGGACAACCTAATACATCGGCTGGCCCCCGCAAGTCATTGTATAGGCCACATCGCATTCAATAAGCCACTACGATTCTGAATGGAAGTAGAATGCGTGCCGCATCCCACAAAGGGATTGATCAACGGCGAAGACTTTATCCTTTATCCTTTTTGGATTCATATTTTGACTCCCCTCGTAAACAAATTCTAATCTGCGGAGTTCTTTCTCACGTTAACGAGCTTCCTCTGGAAGAATGGATTCTTTTCAGAACTAATGACAATATTCAACAAATGAGGCAATAGCAGTGCCGATGGCGAACTAATTAATCTCCCTGGCCAAGTTAATTTCGATGACTTGAGTGCTTGTCAAGGAGCGGACATTAATTTCCAGGGAAGATGGGGCGAGAGATTACAGACTGCTCTCTAAGCCAATAGAGAATCAACGAACCTGGATCTGCTCAAATGGAACTTCAAATGAGAATGATTCGTTATAGTAGGGATT